TGTCTTCAGCGACTTCAGGTGCTATATCTTTTGGTAGCCAAGCACCATCCGCTTTCTTCACCACATTTTCTTGTGCACCCATTGTCTTCAGCGATTTCAGGTGCTATATCTTTTGGTAGCCAGTTCTACCCTGTCCAATAGGGTCACTAGGAGTTGATCTCAACTGGATTCCCTTATTTTGTTTGTCTGTTTGTTTTGGGGTTTTTTTGAGGTGGGGATCTCCTGCCTTGAAGACGTTTCGACTCCCTGTTCCCCAAAGTAAAACCCCAAAAGGCAGCCTACCAAAGAGAGAAATGTGGAGTTGCTTTCTCTGAGTGTGTGACCAGGAAGCCAGGGACAGCCCTCTGTCCTTCACCCTTCGGTGTGCATATAACTACAGATGGTCACCCAGCACATCGTAGAGCCCACACTCCTGCTCTCCTTTCAAACCTGCTATTTGCAGAGCCAAATAGTGGACGACTGGCTTTCGATGTCGACGATGAGTAAGCCCTGGCGATCTAACCAGAAAGCCAACAGATGGAAGCCCCAGCTGCTCCTCGGGGGAGACCGGGCTGCCTACTCTGCCATCCCTCCACGGCAGGGAGTTGGGGTTCATATCGCACTTCACGGCACAGCTGTACCATCACTGTTGACTCCAGCCAATTAGGGCAAAACGGTTAACACTCAGCTGCTAACACAAAGGTTGGCATTTCTAAGCCATCCAGCTGCTCCTTGAAAGTCGCCTTCCATAAAGATTACAGTCTAGAAAACCCCGTGGAGCGGTTCTCATCTGCCACAAGAGCCACGATGCATCAGAGTCCACTTGGCAGTGCCAATCAACCATAGCAGCATAGTCATTGATGATGATGATTATTCATGACTTTTTTTGTGCCATGGGAAATCACATTCTAGCACATATCTTTGTTTGCTCGTGTGTCTGATTGTTTTGTTAGTAAATAAAATCTAGCTCACCTCCTCTTTCTCAAATGTCTACGTCAGGAAGTAAGATTTGATCGTGGAACAATTTGTGCGGCTTGAATACATCCAGGCACTCTCTAATGGATCCTGCATAATGGTAAGGATCCGTGGATTTCAATCAATTTAATTTTGTTTTAAGGACCACTGAAGCTGTTTATTATTAAAGCACACATTTTGAAGAGATGACGTTCATATATATCAGCTCAAAAGGCTTAGAGTGTTAAAAACTGTAAGAATAAAGTATCAAGCTGTTGACTGAAGTAAAAACACAAGGGAATAAAAATGCACTCTTTCATCAAAAATATAATGAGTTTTATGAAGTTAGTAAATAAGTATTACAAGCACAGCTCCGTCTAATTTTTTTAGAGCTATGGATGGAAGAAACATTCCCGCGGGTGCTTAGGATACTCTATTGCTAAGATGACCATTTTGAAAAAGCAAGGAAGGTAAATTGGTGGTCTCCACATTGGGCTGGTCCCCAGCCACCCACCTTAGAAAACAACCCTGGGTAGAAGTGCCGTTTCAACAACCAGTTCCCTGAATTCAACAGAAAATCAGCTATCCATTCTCCTGAATCCCCAAACTAAACGTGAGTGTTGTTTCACTTAAAGAAGCTAAAATCGCATCTCCTTCAGGCGACCTTATCTGATTCCCTGAGCCCTGTGAAGGGCGCTCAGGTGCCCGCAGAACACCGCTGAGGAGCTGAATGGAGCGCTCCCCACTTCCTGCCTCCAACAGGATGGTGCATGGACAGAACCAGAGAGGGGCGGAGCTTGCCCAGGACACAAAACTGTCCATTCTGCAGTGTGCTTACAGGAGGATGGATACCAGATGGATGAAAGGAGGGAGGGAGGGAGGGAAGGAGGATGCATGCATGAACTAAGGAGGTGAAAGAGGGGCATATGACATGAAATCCGCTAAGCAGAATTTTCCAAACTTGGAAATAAAATAAAGTGTTGACTCCACTGGCTTTCAATGCCTCACTTGGACACTTCAAACGGGTTCCAAGAATAACTACTTCCTTCTCTAGGGAATGTATCTTTGCTTAATATTCATGTCTGTTGACTAGCCCCAGACTCTGTGAAGGTAGATGTCAACTCAGAGAAATTGAAAAAGTGCAAGTGATTTCTAATAGAAAATAGAGCCTTGAGCCTACCGTTTTATTTATTTTTTATCTTAAATAACAGTTTTATTGGTTTTGGTCAGTTATTACTTAATATTTTCCATTAATATTTTTTAATAATCATTTTATTAGGGGCTCATACAACTCATCACAATCCGTGCATACATCATTTGTGTCCAGCACATCAGTACATATGTTGACTTCATCATTCTCACAACACCTGCTTTCCACTTGAGCCCTTGGTGTCAGCTCCTCATTTTTCCCCTTCCCTCCCTGTTCCCCCCTCCCCCCTGAACCCTTGATAATTTATAAATT